ATTAATATCTTTTGTCTTAAGAGAAAAACACAATAACAGGGAGAAGGAGCCATGTTCATGTTCAGCGCCCCCAAGTCGGGGGACACCAGGCTTGCTTGCACCCGGGCATGTGCACTCCCTCCCTCCCTCTCTGCCCCCAAACCAGCCACTGGGAATGCCGCAGGGCTTCAGTGGCACTTGAAAGTTTACTGGAGGGGTGGAATGGGGGGGAGAGGGAGAGACCTAAACTAAAGGTGAGAAGAGGCTATCACTGATCCCTTCCATGCTTCCATTGGGATATTCCTCGAGGTGCCCCCACAGTGCTGCCAAGCCTGGTTGCACCTGCGGCTACCTATTCAGCAGGGTCCTGTCACTGCACTAGGAGGGCGGCTTGGGTGGCTGCTCACATGCTGCGGGCTGGGAAGAGGAAAAGGAGGCAGGAGGAGGGCACCACTGCCAGCGTTCAGTATGCCTGCTCACTGCTCACCCAGTCCCTTCCTGGGGCACCCACCGCAGCTGTTGCACCTGCCTCAGGCCACCTGTTCAATGCTGCCTCTTGCGGTGAGTCGTGGCTAATGAGTGACATCGTCACTTGGTGCCATTACTCTTTCCAAATATGTGCATGGCTGCTGGGGCAACTCAGCTCGTGTGCCAACAGAGAGGGCTCTGCATGCCTGCTGTGGCACATGTGCCATAGGTTTGCCATCACTGGTAATGTATTAATATTATATATTATGGCATATAATATCATGTCAGTTACAATCCGTTCCATCTTTCTCATGCTAAACTGATTATATTGGCCAATCAAGATGTAAAACTGGGTTTTAAAAAGCAAACATGACATAGACAGAAAGTGTTTCTTGCTTTGGATCAACTGGTGGGTCCCATTGATAAGTTTTGTCTTGTGTAACAAATTCAATGACAGAATGGTACACTTGCTATCTAAGTTCAGCCCAGCCAGTATACAGAATCAAAGTCTCTGTCATTACTGGAAGCAATGACTGAGAGTGATATGAGAGTTAGTACCAGCAGATGAGACTGCCAGGTCAGAAGGCACTCAACCAGCTATTGGGGAAGAGCAAAGGTCAACTATGAATAGTGCCATTACTAATGATGCAACTAGATCAAAGCCAAAGGGATGTCTAGTAGCCAATATGAATGGAACATGAGAAGTATTCGTCAGGACAAATTGAACTGTAAAGCAAGAAACTGAATGGTTAAACACCACAGTACTTGATGTGAGCCAACTAAAGCGGACTAGAAAGCAACATTTTCAGTCAGACAAACACAGGGTATTTTACTCTGGAAATGACAAGCTCAGAAGAGCTCTAATACAGGGGCAAGATGTAGCATAGACAGTCAAGAACTATAATGCAAAGTTTGACTGAATCATATCAACCAGAATTCTCAGAAAACCTATCAACACAACCATCTGAGCAGGTCTGTGCTCCAACAACAGATGCTGAAGAAGACATGGAAAACTTTTATGTAAGTGCCCAAGGTGAAATTAATAACATACCAAAACAAGACATGCTGATGATCATGGACAACTGGAATGCAAAAGTAAGAAACAAAGCAGAATCAAAAGGTAGAATTTGGCCTAGGCATCAGAAATGAACCAGGAGAACAACTCATAGATTTCTGTGAAGCCAGCCATTTGTTTATTGCAAATACATACTTCGCACAACTATTGGATGATTGCATGCATAGACATCACCAGATAGCCAATCTAGAAATCAAATAGATTATATAATTGGAAATAGGAACTAGAAAAACTGTATTCTCACTGCCAAACAAGAGTGGGAGCAGCCTATAGTAGTGACTATGAACTATCATAAATAAGAGTAAAGTTGAAAAGATCACTAACAGAACAATAGTGCCAAAATATAGCTTCAGTAACATTCCAGAATTTTTAAAGAACTTCCTGAACTCCATTGACTGTGAAGCAGAAGATCTGTGGACTGAAACAAGAGTCATTATTAGGGAAGAATGCCAAAAGACAATTCCTGTGGCAAAAAGAAACAATAGCCTAGATGGATATCAGAAGAAACATTCACAAGGACAGGTAAGAAGCAGTAGCAAAAGACTTCAGAAAAAGGGTCAGAATCCCAAATGCAATTTTTCAGCAACCATCACATATAGACAAAAGAAGTATACAATGGCCAATTCAAAGAAATAGAAATGAGCCACAAAAGAGGGAAAACAAAAGACCTCTTCCAGAAAATTCAAAAATCAAAGGAAAATTCAAACTTAGATTAGGAATGCTGAAAGACTAATAGAGGGACACACTATCTGACCAGAAAATATAAAAATATGACAGACTCCTTGAAGAGGAATTCTATGTGGAAGAGCCTGCAATATTAGAAGGTGAAGTGAAAGCTGCTCTGAAAACAATTGGAAGGTATATAGCACCTGGAACAGACAAGTTATCAATAGAACTATTCCAGTCTGCTGAGACTGAATCAGTCCAAATCCTAACAAGGATATGCTGACAAATATGGAAAACAAAACAATGGCCCACAGACTGGAAGTGTTCATACATTCTGGTCCCAAAAGGAGTTGCAAAAGGATGCAGTAACTATAGGACCACAGCACTAATTCCCCATACAAGTAAAGTGATGATCAAGGTTTTACAACAAATAATTTTACCTTTTATGTAGCAAAAATGCCTGAAGTTCAAGCTGGATTCCAAAAAGGAAACAACACTTGAAATCATATGGCCAATATATGGTGGCTTCAGAGTACACCACAGAATTTCAGAAGATTATGTTTACGTAGTCTATGCTTTATAGACCGTACAGCCTATACAGTACAGCAAAACCTTTGACTGTGCAGATCATAGGACTTGATTGTCCTGATGCATAACCTGTATTGTGGACAAGAAGCTACTTTTATGATAAAATGGAATGGTTTTCTATAGGCAAAGATGTAAAGCAAGGTTATATTTTATCTCCTTATCTGTTCTATCTGTAGACAGAACACATCATAAAGAAAACTGAATTGCGATCAGAGGAAAAGAAGTGAAAATTGGTGGATGATGCATCAATAATTTTAAATATGCAGATGATGCCATCTTATTGAGAAATAGCTGCAAAGAACTGAAAAGAATCCTGATGAAAATGAATGAAGAACAAAAAGCAAGACTGCACTTGATCATCAAAGAAACAACCATCATGACTACAGAAGAATGTTACTATCAACAGTGAAGAAATTGAAATTGTGTAAGGTTTTTAATACCTTGGCTCAATCATCAACTCAAATGGAGACTGTGAAATGGAAATCACTATGTATGGCTGTGAAAACTGGACAGTATATAAAGCTGACAGGATAAAAATGGACACACTTAAAATATGGAGTTGGATGGGAGCTTCACAAAGTTCTTCGACTGACAGAAGATGAACAAGTGGGTCCTTGATCAAATCCATCCAAGAACTTTCCCTGGAAGCTAAAATGACAAAATTGAGGCTGTCAGGTACATAATGAGAAGGCAGGATTCATAGGAGATGGCAATATAAGCAGGGAAAATCAGAGGAGGAGAAGGAGAAATAATCAGCCTGGAGTTTACAAGAGTTGTGAAGGACAGGACAGTCTGAAAGACATTCATTCGTGGGGTTGCCAGTAAATTAGAGATAGCTTGACAGCACATAACAACAAGAAGACTGGGCAGAAGATCCATGAGCTATTGTCTATAAATACTTTTTATTGCTGACTAAATATGTTATCCAGGGTTTCAGTCAGGAATGGAATAGAGAATTGGATTGCCTCATTCTGCCTAATCAGCGATCTATCCAGACAAATCTATGGATTGTAGGCTGTGGCTTTTGTTTTACGTTAATTACACAGCACATCTCTTTACTAAGGCATTTAATAATCCAGCTAATTGAACTACAGCTAATGCTTCTTTTGAACATATCTTTCGGCAATGCTCAGTAGCTGCTTCTTTTTTGGAGGAAGTTATTGTAAGGCACTAAAACAGTCTTTAATATTCACTGATGTACATAATATTTTAAATTATTTCCCCGCTAATGACCAACCTAAACTGATTCTTTGCACCTCTTTAACTGATATTACAACACTAGAAGGAAAAACACTCACTACCTTTGATGCAATGGGCTGAGGACCTTATAATGCTGTCAGTATTTGAATAGGTGGACTTTTGTTGAAGCCAATGTATAATTGCTATTAACTTGTATTTCCATATATATGCATTCTATATGTCTTCCTTGCTATGGGTGTGTACACATTTATGTACATATATTAAGAATTCAAAACATAAAAGACATCATTTTATAACACAGCATTTCCTATAATGTACCATTATGCCTGAAATAATGATGTACATTAAATACAGGTTTTATCTTATAGTAATGAAGAACACTACATGGAGAGACAAGACTAAACCCATCCCAAACTGAGCCCCTTGAAATGTCAAAGATCTGAAGTAGGCAAGGTAACCTCTCTTACTGCACGAAGGCCTTTATCACCTTTTGAGGTCCATGGAGATACCCCTTAGGTAGGAATAATTAAGAAAATCCTGGAAGTTTGCATATACCTTCCCAAGTAGAACTTGGTCTAGTGAAAGGTGTCACTTTTATTATCCTGGTCTTGATTTCATGGAACTTCCATTCCACACACTCAGACTTATTTCTACTATCTGAAGGCCATTTCATACATTATATGGCAGTACACCTAGGTTTTTACTGATGTTAACCTGACAGGGAGCTACAGAGAATCTCAGCTAGATGTGTTTACAATACATTTGTTGTAGTTATACATTGTATTTCAAAAATGTAATATGTGAAGATCTGAAGCAAAGAGCAAATGATCTGTACAGTTTACAGCATATACATACATTTGCTTATACATTTGATTTCATGTTGCCTCTCATTCTTCAGCATGTTTCTTCTTTGACTAAATGCCTGTTACTAAAGTACATGTTTGATTCTCCAAACAAATTCTGCAGTTCATTCATATCCATAACTCTTAATCTAGAAGAAGGATAATGCCAGCTTGCCCACCTACTATTTCTTATTTGAAAGAGCAACTGCTACAATTAATGCAATCACTAGGACAGCCCCACCAACTGAGACCAGAATGGTAATCACTATCATTCCGCCAGCTCGCCCTTCAAACATCACATCAGCTGATTCGTAATTGGTCACTGAAAAGCAAAGGAAAATAGAATTTAAGAATCAACGTAATCAAGGTAGTTTTACCAGCAGAAAAATCCCATTTTTACCCCTGCTGAATCTGCAATTTGTATTGATGGATAGTAAAACCAAGATAGCATTCAGATATACAGATGTTTATGCATATTCATAACATTTTGTCAATGTATCAACTAGGAGTCAAGAGCTAAAATTGCAAATATTCATACACATATACCTATGTTTTCACTAATTTCTAGCATCAACTTTTTCTGTATTTATCTGCAATTTTTCTGTTGTTGAAACTGGGAAATAACAAAAACCATTTGTAGAGCTGTTGTTAAAATAGCAGCTAAGAAATTGAGCTACTGGTTTCGTTCTCTTTACCACAAACTTGTTAGATGGCCTTGAGCAAGTCATTATTGACAGTCTCAGACACATACTCCCCCATCTGCAAAATGAGGATGCTAAGACTGCCCAACTTCAGGGGACTATTGGAAAGATAATTTAGATATTGATCGTTTTTGCATTTGAAAATGTAGCAGAATGTGCAAGCCAGCATGCTGATTCCTGGGTTCCCCCACTTCCACACTAGTTCTGTATCTTCCTACTTCCATGTCCCATCCTTGGCTTGCTTATATGATGTCCAAACCTAGGTTGATGGGGGATGAACAACCTAGAGTTCATCCATGGGAAGGATTTTTGTATGGAATCAAGTGAGCCCCATCTTCATCAGAAGTGGTACAGCCTAAGCAGAGGTTAACTACCTCTGTGGTAACTAGCACAGTGAATCACTTACTCAGAAATATATTCCTTTACTGTTGCAAACACTGAAGGTCACTAATGTTACTATAATCAGTAGCAACTTAAGATACACTACAGCTGAAAACCCCCAAACTTGGTCTTTTGCAAATCAACCGGGTAGAATTCGCTCTACTACTGTAACTTTGCTTAACCAAGCAATTATCTTGTTGCTGGTCAATAAGTTATGTTTTAGGCTTTATGTATTTGATTACTGAAACTCACCATTTCCGGTATGTATTGCTGGTGACCAGTCTGTATGAGCTCTTATTGCAGCCTTGTCATCCAAAAAAAAGTAATTAACCCTTGAAACGAGAAAGGAAAAGCAAGTGACAATTTACACATATTTAAAACAAGTATGAAAATTGGTGGAAGATGCATCAGTAATTTCATATATGCAGATAATACCATATTACTGTCAGAAAGCAGCAATGTACAGAAACAACTCCTGCTGAAAGTGAAAGAAGAAATTGCAAAAGAACTGCAGCTTTTAAGAAAACAAAAATCATTACTACAGAAGGATTACAGAACTTTGCTGTCAACCAGGAAGAAAATGAAAGTGTAAAAGGTTTTGCATACCTTGGCTCAGTCATCAATTCAAAGGGAGATTGCAGCAAATAAATCTGAAGAAGACTGAGATTTGGAAGGGCAACATTGAAAGAACTAGAAAAGATCATCTAGTGTAAGGATGTTTCAGTAGAGACCAAGATCATTCAAGCTGTTGTATTGTCATATCATTATGTATGGGTGTGAAAGCTGGACACTGAAGATAGCTGACAGGAAGAAAATTGATGTGCTCAAAACATGGGTGCTGGAGGAGAACTTTGTGAATATCCTGGACTGACAGAAAAATGAACATGTGGGTCATGAGTCATAGATCAAATCAAGCCAGAAGTAAAAATGACAAAACTGAAGTCATACTTCAGGCATGGCAAGACAAGATGCATTGGAGAAGGTGAGAATGCTTCAGAAAATTGAAGGCAGAAGAAAAAACAGGGGTGGTGGTGGGGGGAACCAGCTATGAGATGGATTGACTCCATGAAGGAAGTCACAACCTTGAATTTAGAAGAGCTGAGCAGGACTGTCAAGGACAGGACATTTTGGAGGGCAGTCAATCAGAGACAACTTTACTACAGACTTCCCTTCTCTGAAGGTAGTGCTGAGTGGAAAGTACAAAGTGTTGAAAGGAAATCTGTATAGGGTTGGCCCCAACTTTTTTAAAAAACTGACATAAATATATAAATTGCAGTGTCTGAACAGTGGATTATAAACCAGAGGTTATCATTTCAAAAGGTACTCAGATGCAGAAACAGCCTGGAAATCTAGCAATTTCCAAGCATCCAAATCCAGAATCAGTGCCCAGGAATTTTCAGTGCATACTGGTGTCCACTGTTCCATGACGTACCTGCCTGTTCTGAACTCTTCCACCTTAGTAGCAGAATTTATGGCATCATGGTCTGATTCCACGCAGGTTAATATTTGAATCTATTGCAACCCAAGGCTTCCTTAGATAGACTTGTTATGTCCCCTCTGCCATCTGCAATCTGCAGATGGGCAAGAGCAGCTAAAAAATGTGGTACAGCTCTCTTGTGGTGGCTTCCCAGAAGCTGTTTGTGGTCATCACTGTGGCCAGTAAAGGCCTTTACAGTTGTGTTAACTGCAGCAGAAATGAATGTTTCTCCCGCCTTCTCCAGTGAATGCTACTCCTGCTGAAGTACAGGCCAATGTTTCTACTGAGGAGAAAGGAGGAGCAGAAGAGCGAGTGTAGGCAGAAGAGATGGCCAAAAATGGGTGGGACACAGGCAGCTCTACATGCATTACTTTTCCAGTTACTTATGGGTTGTAGCGGTGGCAGTGGGTGGATGGGGGGAGGGGGGCGGTAGTCAACATTGTTAACATTGCAAGTAAGGCAGATGGAGAAGGGGAGAGATGGGTCCTTGCCTGAAAACAGTGTGCTCCAGCCTGTGCAGCCTATGAGCAACTGTGAGCAGATCTTGGTTCCTAGCTGAAGAATGCTGTTCATTCTGCAGCAGGTACTTGAAGAGAAGGTTATACTGGCTGTTAGAAAGTCAAAGCGAGGTTTAGTTTACAAGCCAGATTAGTGGGGCCATTGGAAGAGGCAGACAGAGCAAGTGATGAAACCGACATAAATTATTTTGAACACACGAATGGTGCTTGTGGTTCAAGGCAAACTCACACCCACACATATGTGTAAGACAACATCTCAGCAGTACAACAGGAGGCAAAAATGTACCCCTGCACTTAGTGTGCCAGATGCTTTTGAGCTGACAGGTGAGCTTAAACTGCAGCAGAGCAGGTGTACTTCTTCTGCTCCCTGCTGCTTCCATGGCTCCAGAAATGAAAGGGAAAGTTTGCAAAGAGGCCACACAGTTCTCCCCACATCCCATGAAATGCCTGGAGGACAACAACACTGTATATCGCTCTTCGGAAGTGTCCTTTAAAGTGCACCTGACAAAGCATTTCTCATTGTTTTTCAGTATATATACAAATTGATAGGGAAGAAGCAAAACATTAAATGGCAGGGAAAAGAACATTGGAGAGTGACATTGTGCTGGGAGAAAGGGAGTTGCTGAACACCAACCAGGTTTTCTGCTTTGATCTACCTCCTTCCACAAGCCTTCACTGAAGAACATGGATGGTGCCACCTGTTGTACAGATGTTACTGATGACCAGGAGCCCCACCCTCACTTCTTCCTGCCATGAGGGGGTTGCTCTTGTCAGCTGGCTCTCTGCAATGGTGCAGGGTGACCAATGGATCCACCACCGGGAAGAAAAGTGCATACAGTGCAACTTCCTTCAAGGAAGGAGGAGGACTGGGAAGGTTTGACAGGGAAAGAAACTGCTATGGGCTATGGCATGCATGGCAGGTACCACTGCTTTGCTGCCTTTAATGCTGCCACTTTTGAAGCACATCTGTTTGCCTGTCAGTGACCACAGTCTAGTCCCTCACAACCCACTCAAAGACAAGATCTGAGGCAGCCATGTCTTTCCACACCAACTTGCCTGAGATGTAGATGTGGTTAGCAATTGTCTGAATTGCCCAGATAACCAGTAGACACTCCTTGACCCTGATTCTCTCTTCCCCTATAACTCACTCCATTCAACAAGATCTCCTGATTCTCTGTGTTGGCTTTTCAGTGAGTTGAAAGGGTGATGGCTATACAGGGTTAGCACAGCTGATCCAGCATAAATCTGGGTTCAGCAAATAATCTTAAGAAATCATAGCTTAATGGGGTTACAGCAATATACTTGTCTTTCATTAATTTGTATCTCCAGAAATGCATTTTAGTGCTAATTAAAAGTACAACTAAAAATGGTTTTTAATCTTATCCTCCATATGGCTTGTGACCAACACGTATTGTGCTGTGATAAGCAACTTTTCTGATTAGTTCTGCATGTCAGAACCAGATCCTTTATAAAAGAAAGAGTGATATTAAAGGTATCTGCACATCATTTCTGTTCTGAATAAATCTGGACTTTCTATGGTTTGCAAAAAGATAGAAGAATCCCTAGAGAAAATACAGGATTGGCAGGGGCTGGATGACAGTGTCATGTGGATGTACAGTAAACAGGGAGAAAATGTAGCACAACATTTTCATATCCAGTGCCTAGTGTAGAAGCACCCCCTATTGTTTTAAGCACACACAACCTTGGTTTTTAGAGTGGGTTGTTTTCCTTATAGCAATCTTGGTTCCTTCCATATCTAGCTGCAACCCAATAAGCACCTCTTACTCGCTGAAAAATACAAAGTGAACCTCAACCTCTAAACCCAGTCCACAGGGCAACATGCAGTGGGAACTTACAGCCAAACTATTTCCCTCCCATGCTTCTGCAAGCTGATTCTGTTGTGCAAGTGGGACCCACTGCTTATGCAAGAGTGTTCCCTTAGGCAAGCTCTTCCAACCGGCCTCTTTCCAGAAGGGCACGTTTTCACTTGTTTGGGGTTGCTTCCAGAAACACGAAAACTCTCTTGTATCAAAGGTGCTTGTGTTGGGGTGCTAGAGAACTGGCAGAAACACACCATTGGACTGCCCATGGATTGCAATGCTTAAATATACCTCTTATAAATGTCAGAGGTGCATCAATTAGTGTCCATGCATTAATTAGTGTTCATGGTTACCTGTAAAATGTGGATGGCTTAAGGACTTGATTGCAGAAGGGGCTTTTAGTCTGGCGGCAAGTCTCTGTTCCCACCTGATAGCCTATGACTGTGATCAGCTCGTATTGGCTGTCGTCCATGTCCATGACCAGAAGATCCCTGGCTACTCTGCATGAGATGCTCTTGAACTCATCAGCAAAATATGTTGTAGCCTGGGGTTTTTTGCGGAGATTTTCAATCTCTTCAGTATCTGTCACCCCTTCAAAGGACAGCATAAAATATGATTCTTAGAAACATAGAAACAGAGAAACAGAGCGAGTCAGAAGGGGTCCCCCGGGCCATCTAGTCTGACCTCCGGCACCAGCCGGCTCCGCTCACGACATGCCCACCATGTGCACATCCAGCCTATCCTTGAACACCCACACCGATGGGGCCTCAATGACCTCTCGTGGAAGCCTATTCCACACTCTCAGGGTCCTAACTGTCAGGAAATGCTTCCTGGTAGCCAAATGGAACCTTGGCTCCCTGAGCTTTGCTCCGTTGGAGTGCATCCTGCCTTCCTCTGCAGGGAAGAACAGGTCTCGACCCATCTCCATGTGACATCCCCTCACATACCCGTATGTCGCCAACATATCCCCTCTGAGTCTCCTCTGCTCCAGGCTGAAGAGACCCAGTTCCCTCAGTCTCGCCTCATACCCCATCCCCTGCAAACCGGCCACCAACCTTGTGGCCCTACGCTGCACTGACTTTAACCTGGATATATCCTTTCTGTAATGAGGGGCCCAAAACTGAGCACAATACTCCAGTTGTGGGTGCACCAGAGTCGTATAGAGTGGTAGTAATACCTCTCTCAATCTGGAAGCCACACTTCTGGCTATGCAACCAAGGGTGGCATTCGACCTCTTGATCACCGCATCACACTGCTGACTCATGTTTAGCCTGCAGTCAACCAGTACCCTGAGGTCCCTTTCACAAGTGCTGTTCTCCAGCCACCTGTCACCTAACCTGTACTTATGACAGCTATTCCTATGCCCCAAGTGCAAGACCTTGCACTTATCCACATTGAATGCCAGCCCGTTGCCTCCTGCCCATTTCCATAGTCTGCCCTGATCCTTTTGGATCTGGAGTACCTGCTCCTCAATTATGGCCACTGCTCCAGTTTTAGTGTCATCTGCGAATTTGATCAGCAGACTGTTCACCCCTTCTTCCATGTCATTAATGAAAGGATTAAACAGGATCGGCCCCAGGACAGAGCCCTGGGGGACTCTGCTTGTCACTGGCCGCCATCCCGATGCTTCCTCACTAATGGTTACCTTCTGCTTTCGGTCAGTCAACCATGCCCTAATCCACCGGACAGTGCTTTGGTGTATCCCAAAACTCCTCAGTTTCTCCACCAGGATATCATGGGGCACTTTGTCAAAGGATTGCTGAAATCCAGGTATACCACATCCACTGCATCCCCTCCATCTAGCTATCTTGAAACCTTGTCATAGAATTCCACAGGGTTTGTCTGGCAGGACCTGTTTGTGTGGAAGCCGTGTTGTGTGGCTGCCAGCTTCCCTTCCCTATCTAGCATCACTAGATCTCTCTCTATTATGAGCCTTTCCATTGTTTTTCCTACAATGGACGTAAGGCTAACAGGTCTATAATTCCCCATGTCCCTTCTACTACCCTTTTTGAAAATTGGGACCACTGATGCCACCCTCCAGTCCTCTGGAACTTCACCCGTTCTCCACGAGGCCTCCATTTTTGAGGCCTCGTGGAGAACGGGTGAAGTTCCAGAGG